CATTTGAGTCTTCTTCAGCACCGGTGATTATTCCAGCAAGCTTTTTCACTTTCGAATAATGCTGCCGACATTCCTCATCACCCTGGTCCAGATGTAAACAGCTACGGATTTCCTCAAGAGATTGAAGCGCAAAACCAGCATTGTACATAAGCACGGCCAAACTCAAAATTCCTGCACGATTGTCATTAATCAGGTGAACACTGTTTCTTAAATCTTGTATTCCCTGAAGAAGTACCGGTCAAATTAGGTGAAGAAAACAACCTTTTTAATCTCGCCGGTTCTCAGATGGCAATTCGCACGCATTTCGTGAAGTTCACTGTTCGCAGATACAGACTTCATTATAGTATCCAAGACTGGGATGGCGCCTGCAAAATCCCCATTCTGGTAGAGCGTTTTCGCGTGGTCGATTTTGACTTCTAGGTCGTCGATTTCTTTAAGAGCTGCCTCTGTTTCGGGGTAAGAAGTTTTCTAGGAATAAGTTAGACTTCAGAACTAAAAATTACCAAGAAATACAGAGGGGCGCGTGCGCCTTTCAAGTCCCCGAGTTTTAAAAGAATCCGTGATTTTTGTTTATGACCCTAAATGGCGAATACAAGAAAAGTATCAGCGGAATACTGGTATGTAGCCTGGACTAAGTTGAATGACCCTTTCGACGTCTGATAGAGCCAAATGCAATTTTCCCAATGCAAGGAGAGCGGCTGCTTTCCCGTAAACGGCCAAATAGTTATTGGGATCCAACTCTGGCAGATCAATTATGTAAAATCATTTACCAACAGCTTGCGAATAATAGTTCAAGGCATTGGAGGGAAGTTCCTTGGAAAGGGCCGCGGAACCCATAGATATTAAGGTGTTAACGTCGACGTCAGCTGTGACAAGGTCTGAGAAATTATTTAGAACACTATTTTATACTCATCAAAAAACTGAATCCAAATATGCCAAGAAAACCGGTATACGTGCCAAGAGTTCCCATGGCTCTGTCAAAATAGTAAGCAATCCCCTCCCGCTCCGTGTCCGTCGAATGTGAACACCGAGGCGTGAGTCTATAACGTGTGGTCGTCACCAATTGGCTGTTTTAGTAACATCAAACAAATTGGAGTTATGGTCGTGGTTCCAGCAAAAGTCACCTGCATATTTTTGTTCTTTAGACTTACTTGGAGTTGAAAACATAAGAACACTTTGGAGCGCTTAGTCTGAGTTCACGATCCTCGAAGCTGTCAAGTGGTGAGCGCCTTCGAGGCCTACAACCAACAGAGTGGCCACCCAAATCACTTTGCATGGTACGTTAGTATATAAGTAAATTTGGACAGATGCGATCGTTGATCAGGATATGATTGGACAGGCCCTGACTTCATTGTGACAGGTTCTGACCACAGGAAAGACTCCTTTGCCTGGACTATTTGTCCATTTTTGATCTTCAGCCCTTCCTCTCCTCTGTCAATTATCTCCTTCAATTCTGCTCTCAGTTCTCTCATTTTCAGTCTTTCCCTCGTTTCGTAGTCTGGTTGAAAAAAACACTTCCTTGTGGAAGTTGCGGAAGGTCGTTCTACTTTCTAACAGAAGCGCTGCTTGGGCTTTGTTTTCCAAAATAATTTTCAGGGGTCTTGGGGATGTTTTTAGGTCGCGATTTGAGTCCGCTTTGCCTAGTCGGAAAGCTTTTTTAACTGTGAATATTGCCCCATCCTTCAGGACGGCACTGGCGCATGTCATCTTAAATTCTAAAATTAATGTAAAAGTTATTCTTAAATAAAAAAAGTATTATTATAGACTTTATCAAGTCATGTCTGTCTAATCGTAAACAAAAGGTTTTAATGAGATCTTCATTTTCCAATGTGAGCCCTATTGTAAATCGTGTCCTACAAGCTACCCTTTAGGTACTGTTTTACATAAAGGAGATCTCCTCGGCAGTTAAAAATTCTCAGTCCTTTAGTTGTGCTGATGCTATCAAATTTGTGTATTCATTCAGCAAATCGATGACCCTTCAATGTCTTGAGCAAATCCTTGCGAACTTGCTTGCTCTTTCAGCATGCAGTTCAAAATGGCTAATGGAATTCTCTCCGTCTAAATGTCGCTATGTGTGTATTGGGCCTGATAGGCTATTCCCAACCAGTGGTCTTCCACGGCACACATATGACCGAATGTATCACCAACAAAGATTTGGGTTTAAGCACCACCAATTATTAAGTTGCACGTCTGTATGTATGCATGCATGCATTTGAAAGGTCAGATGTAGAGCCATTGATGACCCCACTTTTGTTCAATGTTTTCGCAGACGCACACTCAAACTAAAGTTGCAGATCTCCCTTCCCTCATGTTCGGATGGACTCGGTTGAATGAAACCGACCGCATCTGGGTTCCTATCGCCTCGGGACTGATCTTCATGATGCCCTCACTGAATGCGCTCCATCGACGCTCTTGGCGAAGCCTTCTATATTCGCCATATACTATTAATCTGGTCGCATCTCCCTTCCCCCATGTTCGGATGGACTCGGTTGAATGAAACCGACCGCATCTGGGTTCCTATCAGCTTGAGACTGGTTTTCAATTTCGCCACTTAT